ATAATAATACGATCCTCCAAATCTTTTTTAGGTGCGGCAACAAGGTACGCGTGTCTAAAGTTATAATTGTGTTTTGAGTTAACACACCATTAAATCAAACTAATTGACCACTGCAAGTGGTGACAAATGTAACTAGAGATTCATCTAATACTGCAACTCGCCTACATGGCTACATCTAAAGTCTAACAAGTGATGTCAAACAATACAATTTTAATTTATAGATAACTATATTTTTTTGTGTTAGACATGTAAGGTAAAAAGAAGAGAAATAGTGTAATTGCTTGACTCTCACACATGAATCAGTTCCAGGCCTGGGCATTCGTCCCAAACCGAAAAGAACCAAACCGATTGATTTTCCACCAAATCGAAATTTTGAATTTTGGTTTTATAGATATTTTCATCAGCGACTTATCAAATTTCAAAATACTGTGATTTGGTTCGGTTCTGTTTTTCCGTATGCTTGAGGTGTTACTGAATCATCTTTGGATCAACCACTCAGCCAGTCTAGACAACATTATCAACTCTTTTTTACCCACTTTTCTTCATTCATTAGAGAATAAAACTGGTACCATTGGAAATGCTCAAAACTCAAAAGACAGATCGAGACACAATATAAAGTTTTATTATCACGGATTAAACCTCAACAGAGTAGAACAGCTTTTCATTGCCCGGATCAAAACACACGAGTCTAGAGCAAACTCTTATTTATTACACTCTACAAACACAAAAATGAGTCAAATCCAGCTCACTCTTCTTCAAGGGGCCAGATTCAAATCCATATATCGGAAGTGCAGTCTCCGCCCGGATATCTCATTTCATGAGCAAGCGCAGGACCGTCTGGTTCATCACCAAAGTCCACAAAGAAATCAGGATTTATGGTAAGACCACCTTTCTCTGTATCAACATCAATCTGAATTATGTGTGAGCCTTTATCCATGAGTTCAGGGTAAAACTGACGGTCCCATGCGCTGAACAGTGAGTTTGTCGCATACAATCGTTTCCCATCGAGGCTCAACTGAATCATCTGAGGTCCTGCTCGTAGAGATTTCCCCTACAAACACCAAGAAAGGAAAAAGTAAATAGCTTATAGAGCAAGCAAAAAAAAACCTAAAATACTCTAAAAAATATTGCATTTTCTTTTTTAAAACAAACCTTGATCTTAGGAACATCGAACTGGTAAGTTTTGCCATCTTCTCCAATAGCCTTAACAGGACTGCCCTTTTGTAGTAATCCTCCCACCCAAATCTGCCCGGTTAAAACAGGGTTTTTAGGGTCTTCAATGTTGTACTGACGAATGTCTCCATGAAGCCAGTTCACAAAGTAGAAAAACCGGTCATCCAGGGAGATCAAGAAGTCGGTAATAAGCCCCGGCATTTCTGGAAGAATCCAGTTCTCTACTTTTAGTGGTTTAACTGATATAACAATCTACAAAGAAACAGTTCCAATGCATTTATAATCATAATTTGAAGGAACAAGAACGGTAAATGAAGAAAAATGATCAAGAAACTCCACTAGCCTCATGGCTCCATGTGTCATCACTGTTCTTGAAAAACCTGATCATATTACTTGACAAGGCACTCCCAACATATCCTGTATCTTTAGACGGATCATGCAAGAACCTAATCTGCAACAACCACATACAAGATTAGATTATATTCCTTAGATTAGATCATCACATGTTGGGAGTGAGTAATGTTACATACCTCAAGAGGTAAGAGACCAGTGTTTCCAAGGTCAATAATCTGTTTCATTTCACCTTCTGGCCATTTATAAATATGTAAATGACTTCCATACAAGCCATCAGCAACATGCTGGAGATCGAAACCTTTGGAAAAAGCTTTAGGTGCTCCCCAAGAAGTGCTGATCATAGTCTTGAAACGAGGTTGGTACCAGAAATCATACCCAAACAAAGGACCATGTCCTGGTTTATCCCACCTGCTTTTGACATTGAAGTCAGAGTCAAGAAGGAGAAACCCATTCCCTTTAGCGTTTCCTTCTTTGTCACCAAGGCAAGAAACCAACATATCACCCGAGGCAAGGCAATGAGATGTGTGTGGAAACGCTAATCCTGTCTTTTCAGCAATCTCTTTAGGCTCTATAACTTTATACAAAGATGGAGCCTTTGGGTTGGTCTTTGTGTCGATTGCATAAATGCGACCAGATCTTCATCAAAACAAGAAAAAATGTTCATCATCTAAAGATGTGAGGGTTAAAAGGAAAGGTGGAACAAACGAGGATCTTACATTAAGCCTGGTAATACGAGGAAACGTCTATCAGCAGAAGCATCGCCATGGCAAGAGCTGCAAGAGTTCCAACCAGTGTGATGAAGCTCATCGCCTATGTAAGGCATTTTCAATCTGTGAATGACGCTTGAATAGGTTGGTGAGCTTGGATCCACATCTACCGTCGCCAAGTAGTCCGGTTGCTCTCGTCCCGTTCCTTTAAAACCATTCAAACATATCAAAATGTATTAAATACAGAGGAATCAAGATTTTTCCAAGATTCTTCTTTAATTGTGAACTTCACAGTCAAAAGACATTAAACTCATATGGACAATCATAAGAATCTGACATGAGAAAGTGAAATGGAACCTAGAATAGTATGTAAAGAACATAGAAAATCCAGTGATTGTTACTCCATCTGTGTCAAATTAAAAGATATTTTGAATTTTCACACATATTAACAAAATAAATTAAAATTTGATTATAAATGCATCATATTTTGTGATTAACAAATTTCTATAACTCTAAACTAATAGAAATTCAATAAACTAAATTATTTTTCTTGAATTTTACAATTCCTAATCATTAACTAATAAAAAATCTATCTTTTTGAAACAATTGTTTTTTTTAAAGCATATATTAATTTGAAACACAGGGACTACTTGATTTTGAGTCGGAAGCCAATGAAATTTTACAAAAATCTGAGTGATTTCGTAGAAACTAGCAGAAGTTCTTTTAATGTTAAAAGTAAGATTCAGTAAGAAAATACTAAATAAAACGTTAAATAAAAATAGGTAGAAGATGGTGAAAATCAAATGTGTACCGGAGTAGAGGGCAGTGACGTAGATGAGCTTTTCTCGTGGACCGGACATGGCGGCGAGAGGGGACGCGTAACCCGGACCGGACTTGCAACAACCTTTTCCTCCGCCATTGCTCAAAGCCGTCGCCAATACAGTCTCCGTCGCCATCTCTCTCTCTCTCTCTCTATCTGTAACTTTGTGTGGAAGTCGTGAAGTTACACGTCTCTGAGTAAAATGCAGATACAAGCACACATGTGATATTTATTATTGTCAAGCTTTTGGCTCTAAGTGAGTAAAGCTCGATGGTGACTTGTGTCGTTGCTATCTTTATGTCTATATATATAGAGCATGTGACACCAAACAATATTCCTTTACTAATAATTTACTGGTACTATTATCCTACTTTTGGTAAGTGTTTTAATTGTACATTAATGAGTTTAAACAGAGTTCACTTTTGAGTTCACCTTACGAAGTTGTCTCAACATTCAACAACCATACATACATCACTCGAAATAGTTCAAAATATTAGTACATACCATTTATTTATCTTGTAAGTAAAATTAAGCAAAAAAAAAAAAAAAAACAGTAATTTGAGGATGTGTTAAAACATAGATTTTGGTTGAGTCACATAAATTGAAATTAGTTTTTTATTGTTTGTAACTGACAAAATAAAAGATTATTGTTTGTTTTAGTCATAAATAAAAACATATAAAATTTAAAGAACCATTCTCTAAACAAAAAAAAATATATATCAACTCTGTAATAGAAAAAGAAATAGCATTCCTCCATATATTGAGTAAAAATAACATTCATTTATTTTAGAGTTGGAAAGAGAGGTGGATTTGAGAAAATTTAACAGAAAATGGAGTTTCAAACAGAAACAGAGGTGGGATGACTTTATGTTGTAAACATCATGTTGTAAATTAACTTACAACTAATGACTAATGTTTCTAATGAGTGATTGTTGATATGTGAATATCAACAAGGGGCAAAACAGTATTTTAGATCGGTAAACTCGGCTTTATTAGATCGAATCGAGAGAATACAACTGAGTTCGGTTACTAAGTAAAGAATAACGAACTAAGACTTTATGAAACTAAGAATCTAGCGTAATGAGTTCTCAGTCTCTAAGTCTTCTCTGGAATATCTTGTGTCCTCTGGAGTCGATTCATCTTCCTTTATATATATCCTCTGAGTCGGTCATCAAGCGCATCTTCGGCGATATGGGACCGAGAGGACTTTCCTTTTCTCTCGGTCCTTTTCCTTTTCTCATACGAGTTTCCTTTTATCATTAGGAAACTTTCCGTTCCTGACCGAACTCGGGGAACTTCTCAGTTCCTTCGAGAAGCTTCTCGCCGACCTCGGCTTGATGAGCTGCGCTCGGCCCAAAACTTCGCTCGGCCCAGTCTTCCCGGTACATTCTTTCGTGAACCGGGCTTACGTTACGTCGATCTCGATTTGTACCGGAGAAAACTGGGGTGCGGTTTTCACCTCCAACAGTTAGCCCCCCCCTCAGTTCGATGAAAGGAAGTGGCTTTATTCGAACTCAGTTGATTCAAAGTAAGTCACAAACTGAGATCGGTAACTGCAATCGATTCACATTCCCGGATGTTTCGCACCTTGTCTTCAATGAGGCGCGTGAATTCTGGGATCTTCGCGAAAATCTAGGAACCACGATTCCCACTGTTTATAAGGGAAAAACCTTCTCTTCACATTCATTACTCTCGCTCAAGCATATATAAGGTACGCTGCTCTCCCTTCTCTCTAGATTTTTGTTTCTCTCTCTAGTTTTCATTTCTAATTTTCTCTCGTTTCTTCAACTCTCGCCACCGCGATTCCTTGATTTTTCCGACCTATCTTCGAGTTTCCCGTTCGATCTTCATATTCTCCGATCAATCTTCAATCTTTTCCGGTTGATCTTCAAACTGTTCTTCATTCTCCTCAGATCCCCTTTCGATTCTACCTTTCCGAACTCAAAATGTCCTCCAGTTCTTCGATTAACTCTTCTTCTAATCAAATCCTTCCGGAAGATCACCGCGAATCCTCGGAGCCGAGCTCTTCCTCTTCAAACCCTCATCTATCGAATTCGTCTCAGGGAGAAAGCAATCCCCCACAACTAGTTCGCAAGAACTCTAGGTCTGTTGATGCGAGCAGCAGCCGTGCTAGACCTCGAGTCGAAGCTACCGAGCAATTGGTGACAGAAACTCGCGAGACAGAAGCTCGTGCTGGACCGAACGCTGGTGGTATCGACCACGAGATCGAGGAGGTCGAGGAACCTGAAGGAGAGAATCAGGAAGAGAATGCCACTGAAGCAGAAGTTGCCGAGGACAACCTCGAAGCAGTGAACCATGCTTCACCACCGCTTCCAAAGCGAAGGGTCGTTCGCCCCAACAACGTGCCATCTTCTTCCGTTACTCCGGGTGCTGTTCAGGCCATGCTCGAAGAAAATGGGCTCTCGGACCTAATTGTTTTTATAATTTCAGAAGCTGGAGATCGGCTGTGGGACGTGCCCGAAGGCTTCCTCTGCATCTACTTGACCTATTTCACGCAGTGCGGGCTCTCGCTTCCTATCCCCTCTCGTCTCCTTGGATACTGCAATCGGTGTGGTGTAGCTCTCACACAGGTGATGCCAGCCTCGATAACGAACTACGTAGGATTCGTTACCTTGTGCGATGAGCTCGGTGAGATCCCCTCCAGTCGACTGTTTGAGGATCTCTTCTCGGTCAACATCCACAAGTCTAAGGAATGGTTCTTCGCAGCGAACGCCAAACCGAGGAAGAACATCGTGTCTGGGGTCAAGCCCAGTAAATTCAATGACTGGGAATCCCAATATTTTATATCTCGAGATGAACGATCTCACCGTCAGCAATTCTGACATCCCCACTTAATCGGAGTGGAAGATTCCAATTGGTAGATTTAGATGATCTCGTACTTAGTTAAATTCTGATTTTGCATTTGTCTAACTTTCTTTCGTTCTATCTTTCGCAGGTTGTCATCTCCCAAGTCTTCTTCTCAATTCCGGACTAACTTCCGAATTTGAAGCCGCTTTCAGTGAGGCCGGTAAACGCCGTTGGCCCGAAGTTTGGGAAGAAATCCTTCAACGTCGAGCTAAGAAAGCAGGTTTGTCTATTGAGTTCGCTTTTACTTTCTTATTTTGAACTTATTCCAAACTCCCTCTTGATATATTTCCTTTGCAGGTTCCGTTCAAGAACCAAAGCCGGTGAAACGAAAAGTTCGAGCTAATAAGCCCCGGGCTGCTCCAAGACGAAAGGCGCCTAAATCGCGAGCCAAACGAACTCAGACCGCCAGGATGCTTTCGCTAGACGAGATCCCAACCTTGTTTGATGAAGAAGAGCCAAACTTTGCAGATCCGACTCATGTCCCTGCCACCGAAGGGACCAACGAGCAGCCTGAAGAGTTGCCGCCTGCTGCGAACTCGCCTAACCAAGCCGGTCAGAAGAAGCCGAAGAAGAAGAAGTCTTCGAAGAAGACTAAGAGGATTGAAGATTCTTCTCGGGCACAGGATGCATCTGCTGAGCTCGACCCGCCAACAACTGTGGCGTCGGACCTCGCTCTTCCTCAAGATCGAGCTGAGGCTTCTCATTCTCGGAAGAGACATGCCGAAGGTTCTCCGGAGCCCGAGCCGGCTAAGAGGGCTAAAGTCTGTTTCGACTACGATGAGGAGACTCCTTTCGAGGAGAACGTTGATGCTTGCGCCGATCTTTACCACAAGATCTCTTCTGACGTCCCAAGTCTCCCGGCGACCTCCGAGCTCCGGTTCCCTAACTTGTACAAGGGGATTGCTCGCACAACTGCCGTGGTACTTCCTTTATTCCTTTTCTTTATTTTGATATTTTTCCTAAGTATGAGTTCTAACCCATGCTTTACTTTGTGTAGCTCGCCAGCCAGACCAACACTCTGGTAGCTCTTTATGATGAGTAAGTTAGGGTTGCTGAGCTCGAGGAAAGGGTCTCCAAAGCGGAAGAGCGCCTTGCCACCGAGCTCCAAATCAATGACACTCTCCACTCTTCGGTTGATCTGCTGAAGCAAGAGAGTGCAGAGCTGAAGGCGGTGAGAAAAGAGCTGACCGAGGCTCGAAACATGCTTGCTCAGGAGTTCGAGAAGGATCGGGAGCGGCTACGTGCCTTGGTGACCCACTGGAAGGGTCGAGCTAGGAGCGTTCACGCACAAGCTTGCGAACGTTTGGAGAAGGTGATCCGCAGCTTGGACGACGCCGATCGAGCCCGCAAGCCCTACTTGGTGGTCAATCAACTCACTAGAGTTCTCGGCTTCATTAAGCAGCTGAAAAAGAAAGGTTTGTACGAGGTCCCGCCAGAGATGGTTGCCAACATCGAGGCGAAGCATGCTAAGGCGTTAGAAGACTTTCGTTCAATCGATGCTTGTGTTCTCACCGAGGAGGATAAGCGGATGTCTCCGTTCGTGGAAGAAGATGATATTCCGGTCGTGGCTGTGACCCAGAGCGCGCAAGATCCTGCGAGGGGCGAGCAATTCGGTTCAAACAAGGATATGATCAACGTCGATCAAGCTGCTACTTCAAAGTCTGCTTAGTCTTTCCTTTCTCTTTCCTTTCTCTTCTTTTGACTCGAACTTATTTGCCCTTTCATGGGTTATGTATTATTTTGCTTATTTATTTCTGAGCCCTCGGTGGGTTTTTTAAACTTTATTTGCCTTTCAGAAGGCTTTATGATATGTTTTTCGTTATTTCAATGATTTCTAATTCTTTTCTTAAGTAGTAGATCGATACTCAATCTGAACTCAACTTGATTTGATCGGTTACCGATTTGCGATATCATCTAAGTAGTAGATCAGCAACTAATAAGTGATATTTGAACATAATTTTATCTTTCGGTAGCGAATTGCGATATTTCGGCTTACGTTTTGCGAGTGTTGAGAACTCGGCTTACGGTGCGAATCTGAGGAGTTCGGCTTATTGTGCGAGCATTTGAGCTCGGCCTGGGGAACCCAAGTGAATCGTATCGTACTGGAAGAGTGAATTAATTTGAACTCCTGTAAGCGCACAAAACGAGTTCAAGGTTTTTCTAAGTCGAACCTAAGTATGCGAGATGTGCTCGGCTTATTGTTCTTGGTGACTTAGAAATTTAACTGCGGGACTGGCCCCGGCTTTTGATATGTGGTTTTACCACGGCACCATGTGGATGCTCGCGAGACGGATCTCGGATTTTTAAGTTTGCATTCATGTGGAATGCTATCGAACAACTGGCCAGAAAGTCGATGTAAGAACAAGGAGTTCGGTATCTTGTGATTTCCAAACTAGAACTTAGACGTTTTTGTTTTAAGAAAACTTTATTGATGTTATAGCTGGACTCGGTAACAAGCTGCCTACGTACCCTTTAAAGGGATCAAGTCATTCGTAGTTCTAAGTACAAAACTATTTTTTGCTCCGACTAAGTAGTTCGGAGGCTTTTTTTTTTTTTTTTTTTTAATCAATTTCGTAACGAACTAGTAGTAGTATCGTTTGAGATGCATGGAGTTCCAAGATCGCGCGATCGGAGTTCCGTCTAACTTCATGAGTTGATAAACGCCGGGCTTGACGACCTTCATTACTTGATATGGTCCTTCCCAGTTCGCGCCGAGTTTTCCTGCGCTCTTTTCTTCTGTGTTTTTATAGACTTTTCGAAGTACGAGATCACCATCTTCGAAGTGACGGCCTTTAACTTTCTTGTTGTAGTAACGAGCTGCCAGTTGTTGGTAGTTTTGTATCCGGAGTAATGCTCGTTCGCGATGTTCTTCGACTAAGTCGATTGTGTCGAGCATCATATCGTTATTCGCGTCGGGTTGCTGAGTGAGCATGGTTTGACGAATACTTAGGACGTTGAGTTCGGGTGGACACATAGCTTCTGTACCATATGCAAGGAAGAATGGTGACTGACCGGTCGAACGTCATAGTGTAGTTCGGTGAGAACACAAGACACCATCGAGTTCGTCCGCCCAAGTTCCCTTAGCGGTATCGAGTCGCTTCTTCAGACCATCGATAATGGTTTTGTTCGTGGCTTCGGCTTGCCCGTTCCCTTGTGGGTATCGTGGGGTAGAAAAGCTTAGTCGGATTTTCCACTTGGCGCAAAAATATGTGAAAATTATCGAAGTGAACTGGGCTCCGTTGTCCGTAACGATCTCGTACGGGACTCCGTGTCGGCAGATGATGAACTTCCAGACAAACTTTTTGACGTCGATTCCATGAATTTCGGGGTACGCCTCGGCTTCGTCCCATTTGATGAAGTAGTCCGTGACGACCAGTATGTATTGCTTCTGAGTTGTGGATCGGCGAAAAGGACCGCTGATGTCCATTGCCCAGCGCATGAAAGGATATGGTGCGGTCGAGGTCATCAAGAGATCGGTAGGAAGGTTGATCATTGAGCCGTGTCGTTGGCACTTCTCGCAGCGTGTTGTATACTTTTCGTAGTCAGATAGCATAGTAGGCTAGTAGTAGCCGGCTTTTTTGATCTTGAATTCCAAAGACCGAGTTCCGGAGTGATTCCCTCCTTCTCCTTCATGAACTTTCTGCATTACTTCCATGATGTCGTTGCCGCGAACACAAGTCAAGAGTACTCCAGACGCATCCCATCTGAGGATAGTGCCTTTAATGACCACATATCGAGCTGCTCGAGCCTTAAGGCGTCGAGCTGCCCATTTATCTTCGGGGACCGTTCCATCTCCAATGTAGCCTACAATTTCTAAGGTCCAATCTTCGGGCTCGTCTTCACCTTCTGCTTCAATATCGATTGGAATATGTTGGCCTTTGGACTCATCTTCGAGATCAGATCCGTTGTCATCTTGTTCGTCCAAGTTAGTGTTGAGATCGGTGACGACCTCTCTGGGTTTTGTCTTTCGGGTGAGGGGCGGAGCGAGATTGGGTTGGGCTTCGTAATCACGTCATCGTGTAATGATGTTGCAGTTTGGAGCAGTATCGATACTTGGTCGCTCGATTGCTGCGATTGGGATAGTTCGCCGAAGATCGGGATCAGAATTAGTCGAGAGAGCGGCTAAGGCGTCGGCGGTTGCATTCTCATCACGAGGTATCTTTGTAAGCTCGAAGGTTGAGAACTCCGAAGCAACATCCTTAAGGACTTTGAGGTACGCGTCCATGCGATCATTCTTGGCCTCGTATTCGCCGTGAAATTGGTTAGCCACAAGTTGAGAGTCGCAGTAGGCGTGTACGTGCTCGGCACCAATATTTTTGGCAAGTCGTAGTCCGACAATCAATGCTTCGTATTTGGCTTGATTGTTGGATGCCGGGAAGCCAAGGCGGAATGATTGTTTGATAACTTCTCCTTCGGGGGATTTGAGACGAATCCCGACGCCGGATCCTTTATGGGATGAGGAGCCATCGGCGTGGAGAATCCAAGGTTGTACGACAGGATTAGCTTCGACGAGCTCAGGTGGGAGCTCGACCAAGAAATCCGCCAAGACTTCATTGCAGTTCTTCCTCGGTATTCGATGTCGTACTCGCTAAGTTCAATGGCCCACTTGGCGAGCCGTCCGGATTGACTTGGGCTATAGAGGAAAGTGCGAAGAGGGTAGTCAGTGAGGACTACGATCGAGTGAGATTGGAAATACGGGCGTAACTTTCTCGCGGAAATAACTACGGCATATGCGAATTTCTCCAAAGTCGGGTAACGATACTCTGACCCATCAAGGGATTTGCTTGTGTAGAAAATTGGCTTCTGCTCGCCACAATCTTCTCGAACAAGAACACTTCTGACCGCGAACTCCGAGATTTCGATGTAGAGATAAAGTGTCTCGCCGGTTTCGGGTTTGGATAGGACTGGCGGAGTAGACAAGTACTTCTTTAGCTCGGCAAAAGCTTCTTCGCACTTCTCATTCCATTCGAGATGTTTGTTACCGCGAAGAAGTTGGTAGAAAGGCAAGCACTTGTCTGTTGATCGGGATATAAATCGATTCAGTGCTGCAATGCGTCTGGTGAGTCGCTGAACTTCGCGTTTGGTTGTCGGAGATGGGAGCTCGAGTATAGCTGCAATCTGTTTTGGATTAGCTTCAATGCCTCGCCGTGTCACGATGTATCCAAGGAACTCTCCAGATGTTACACCGAACGTACACTTAGTGGGATTAAGCTTCATGCCATATTGGTCCAAAATGTCGAAGCATGTGCGAAGATTGCCGACGTGATCGGAAGCGACGAGCGATTTTACGAGCATATCATCAATGTAAACTTCCATAGTTCGCCCAAGCTGGCTTCGAACATCCGGTTCACCAGTCGTTGGTATGTTGCTCCAGCATTCTTCAGACCAAAAGGCATGACCTTATAGCAGTATATGCCGCGGTCTGTGATGAACGATGTCTTTTCCCGATCTTGTGGATGCATAAGAATCTGATTATATCCTGAGAATGCGTCCATAAACGAGAGTAGCTCGTTTCCGGCTGTTTCTTCCACAAGGTGATCGATATGAGGCAAAGGAAAATTGTCTTTCAGACATGCCTTATTGAGGTCGGTAAAATCGACGCAGATCCTCCATTTACCATTCTTCTTTTTGACGACAACGGGGTTCGCTAACCAGTCAGGATACTTGACCTCGGTGATGGATCCTGCTTTGAGCAACCGCTCGACCTCGTCGTTGACGGCTTGTGCCTTCTCTGGCCCGAGCTTTTGACGTTTCTACTTGATTGGTTTGTATGTTGGATCGATATTAAGCTCGTGACACGCGATTTGTGGATCAATCTCGGGCATATCTTCGACCCACCATGCGAAGGTGGACGAATGCTGTTTTAGAAAGTGAATGAGTGGCTCGCGGATGCTTTGGTCGAGTTCGGCGCTGATTCCGACTTGACGCTCTGACCTTAGCTCGTCGATGCAAACTTGAACGATCGATTCCTGCTTAGGTTTTGTCTGTTGGACGACGAGTTCGTTCGTCGGTCCTAACAAACTAATGACACAAGCTTGATTGGCTGAATGAAGTTTGCATTCGTTTATGTAACACAATCGAGCGATGGTTTGGTTTCCTCGGAGAGTGTAGACACAGTCGGGAGTCGGAAACTTCAGGCATTGATGGTATGTTGAGGCGACCGCCTTCATTGCGTGTAACCAAGTCGTACCGAGAATGGAGTTGTAGATCGCCGGTTTGTCGAGGATGAGCAACTGGATAATCTTTGCGACTCCGTCGAGGTAGATCGGAATGTTGACCATGCAGACCGTCATACAGTGTTCTCCATCGAAACCTGTAAGTGGCTCGATAAAGGGCTCAATCCTATCTGATGATAAATCGAGCTGGTCAAGTTCTTCCTTGAAGATAATGTTGACCGAACTGCCTGTGTCGACCAGAATGTGGCTAACTTCGACATCGTCGAGAAGTAGTTCGACGACGAGGGCATCATTATGCGGTTTATGCAATCCGATTGTGTCGGCCTCGGTAAATACCAAAGGTGTTCTGTTCGGCGGATCGTGCGGGACTTTGGGCGCGTTGGTGGCCTGTCTACTGTACTCTTTGATAGCTCGAACCGAGTAGCTGCAAACCTCGATGGCTCCCATTATCATGTTGACGCGTTTCCTTGCTTTGGGAGCATGGTTCTCCTGTGCTCGGTCATCGCGATTGCGTTTCTGTTGTTCGAGCAAAGCAGGTGGATTTCGGTAAAGCTGGTAACGTCGGTAAAGTTGGTGGAGTTGGTGGGTCTTTAGCAATGGCGTTCTCGAGCTGTGCGTTATTCGGTCGTGTCATGTTTAAACGATGGAGATCGTCAACTGAGGTTTGCCCACTGTTCCTTGGCGCGTTTAAGCGACGGAGAACGTCAACTGAGATTGGCCCCTTTCGGTATTGGCCGAGTAGATATTCTCGCAGGTGTCTGCATTCTTCAATGCTATGTCCTCTACGGTTATGGAATTCGCAAAACAAGGACTCGTCTTGATCTTCTTCACCGCGGACCCATTTATTGTTCCACTGTTTGGTCGGTTGTTGGATCGCATTAGCGTAGAACTTCTTACAATTTTCGTACCCTCGACTGTATCCCGACTGTCGTTCGTTAGTTGTTGCTTTCGAACGTTCGGGTTGCTTTGTCGAATAACTCTGCTCATAAGCGGCTTCTTCTTCCTCTTCGGCGATATAAGTATTAGTTCGGTGTAGTGCGTCTTCTAACGTCTGTGGAGGGTTGTGCGTGATTGTGCTTCGGAAGCTAGTCTTTATCCGAGCTCCTTTCTGAAGGCATAAGAGGGCGGCTTCATCGCTGATCGTACAATTAGCGACAATCGTCTTAAAGCGTTGGATGAAATCGCGAAGGCTCTCACTTGGTCCTTGGGCTATTTGCCAGAGCTCGGAGTTCTTGGTGTTCTGTCCAATAAACATGGAGAAGTGTTTGACGAAGGCTGTCGTCAGCTCCTTATAGTTATCGATTGAGTTAGCTTCGAGTCGCGAGAACCAGTCGAGAGCTACTCCTCCCAGACTTTCCACAAACAGTTGGCACTGAACTGCGTCTCTCTCTTCGGCGGATTTGAACTGGTATCGATTCATGCAGATGCCGAATGATGTCAAGAAGTGTCGGGGGTCAGTATTGCCTTCATAGATATTTATCTTCAGTTTCTCCATGTGTTTGACCGGCGTTCCAGCTATGCGCGGTGTGAAGGGTGTTTTCTGTGTTTCCTGAATGACGCGCTCGATCTCTGTAGCCGCGCTCGTTGCTTGATGTATCTTCGAAGTGATCTCGCGGAGTTGCGTCTTCATTGCTTCGAACTCGGCGTCTCGGCTCAAATCCGATGCTGGTGCATTTGCTGATCCGACTGCGGTAGACCTCATAGTTCCGGCTGGGTCTCCGTCAGTATTGAGGTCGTCGATAATGTTCCGAACTCGAAGGGGAGTTCGTGCTTGACTGAGTTCGGCGATTTGCGCTGCCATCTGGCTGAAACGTTCCTCGCTCCTTTTGTTAGTGGCCTCAAATTGGGCGTTGAACACTTGGAGCAGCAGTTCGGTTCCATAACCTCCTACGGCTGCGGGGGTTTGGCCGGCTACAGTTCCAGTGTTTTCCCCAGGAGTTCCTCCTCCCTGTTCCGCTGGGACGTTAGCGTTCTCTCCACCGAGAGGGTTTCCTTCCTCGTGAATGTTGGTTTGGTCCGTCATTGCTGATTCGATCTATCCGAAATCCGATCTAAGACTGAAAATTCTGTTTAGGCCCCCTACCTGGCGCGCCAATTGTTGATATGTGAATATCGACAAGGGGCAAAACAGTATATTAGATCGGTGAACTCGGCTTTATTAGATCGAATCGAGAGAATACAACTGAGTTCGGTTACTAAGTAAAGAATAACGAACTAAGACTTTATGGAACTAAGAATCTAGCGTAATGAGTTCTCAGTCTCTAAATCTTCTCTGGAATATCTTGTGTCCTCTGGAGTCGATTCATCTTCCTTTATATATATCCTCTGAGTCGGTCATCAAGCGCATCTTCGGCGATATGGGACCGAGAGGACTTTCCTTTTCTCTCGGTCCTTTTCCTTTTCTCATACGAGTTTTCCTTTTCTCATTAGGAAACTTTCCGTTCCTGACCGAACTCGGGGAACTTCTCAGTTCCTTCGAGAAGCTTCTCGCCGACCTCGGCTTAATGGGCTGCGCTCGGCCCAAAAATTCGCTCGGCCCAGTCTTCCCGGTACATTCCTTCGTGAATTGGGTTTACGTTACGCCGATCTCGGTTTGTACCGGAGAAAACCGGGGTGCGGTTTTCACCTCCAACAGTGATAAAGATTTTTTTTAGATATAATTTATTTTTAATTTTTTTTCTAATATTATTATTATAATGATTATAAAAACATAATTCCAACACAATTATTCTATTAATAAAAAATAATTGTTATTATAAAATCATATTTTTAACTCGCACATTCTATTAATCCAAAAATGATCGTAGTTATGAAATAATAATTCTAACCCGTTTTTTCATATTACTATATAATATAAATATTTATTAATTTTGAAATATTTTTTTTCTTAATATCTTGCATGTTTTGATAACCTAACCCGCATAAGATTATAACTATAAAAAAAAATAAACTTTCCATCAAATTATCATATAATATTAATATTTATCAGTTTTTAATATGTAAAATTTTAATCTGATTGAATATGATTAACAAATATCTAATCATATATGTTATTCTAAAAATAATATTTAATTTTAAATGTTAAATTAAATCTAACCTATATTTAAGAAAATTTAAAGTAATTTAAATTAATATCTTTTAAAGAATTAAATTAGTTACAAAAAATAAATAGTTTGAATTTTAAATTAAATATAAGCTATATTTAAGGAATTTATAATTATCTAAATTAATATCAAATTTTCGAAATTAAATTTATATATAAAATAAAATATTTTTAAAAAATATGTGCACGTTGTTACTATATCCGTGAGTTGGTGACTGATATTAGTAAATGCACGTTACTAAATTCGTGAGTTGGTGAGTGCGTGACTGAGTGCGATTAAAACAGTGACCCTTTTGTTGTTATCTAAATAATATCCATCACACATGTGATATGAAACTCCATTTTTTCGTCTTTATTGGGGATACAATTCGGTTTTCCGTGACCCTCTTTACTATGACCAATTCCAAAAAAATCTCAGCAAATTTCTGAAAACAAATGTTACAACAAAGAAACTATACATTACCAGAAGTCATTGCAGGAACATTTTCCTCCTCTAAAATGATGAAATCTAGTAGCATCTCGAACTATAATCTCTCTTCCTGTAATCTCACTTACATGTTTCAGAAAAACATGGCAATCTCCACAAACCCTAAGGTTTTTCACAATCCGTATCGGAGTTCCAGGAACTCCCTTAAGCAATCCGTACGCAACAGCAGATCGCTCGCTATGCCAAAACAAAAGCTTCTCTTTCTCTTGCTCATCCATGTCGTGCAAGATCCAACTCGTATCAGGAACATAACCGTTTCTTCTTCTCATTTCTTCCTCCAACTCCCTAAGCAATCCAAAGATCTCTTCTTTCAGAGGATGAGATGTTTCCCCCGCGTAAAACACTTCGGTTTCTTTCCTAACCTCCACGCTACTATACCCTGGATCTTTCCTAACCTCCATGTCTCCTAGCTTCCTTCTTGCTTCTGATACTTTCCCCCACGAAGAAGCACTCGCGTAGACGTTTGATAAAAGTATATAAGTCGAAGGATCTTTAGGTTTAAACCTGCTTAAGAGAAGATCAGCGATTCTTACACCCATTTGACCTTTCCCCTGTCTCTTACAAGCGCTAAGCAAAGCAGCCCAAGTTGGTTCATCAGGAGGAAACGGCATTGTATGGATTAAGCTCTCAGCTTCATCAAGAAGTCCAGACCGGCCCAGAAGGTCCAACAAACATGTATAATGCTGCAAGGAAGGACGAATCCTGTAGTCCTCGGTCATTGCTTGGAAAATCTCACGGCCTTTAGACACAAAACCAACATGGCTACATGCGTATATCAAACCAACGAATGTGACCTCGTTAGGCTTTACACCGTGAGAAACCATATCATCATACAAGGACAATGCCTTCTCAGCACGCCCGTGCTGAGCCATTCCAACTATAAGCGATGTCCATGAAACCACATCTCTGTGACGCATTCTACTGAAAATATCCTCTGCGGCTATAACGTCGCTGCATTTCGCGTACATATCTATAAGAGCGTTACTGATAAACACACAAGAATCAAATCCTAAAGAGATAACCAAACCATGAACCTGCCTCCCTGCTATGGAAGCTGCCAAGTTAGCACAAGCACCAACAATGCTCGAAAGAACTAAAGGATCCAAAATGTCGACTCTTTCTCTCCTCATTTCAGTGAATACAGAAAAAGCTTCAAGCCCTTTTCCACTCTGTACAAAACCAGAGATCAATGCAGTCCAAGAATACAGATTCTTGGCTGGTAACTCCCTGAAAAGCTCCAAAGCCTCTTCCTTTCTTCCGCTTCTCGCAAATCCAGATACCATAGCGGTCCACGAGATTGTGTTTTTCACTCTTATAGAATCGAAAACCGCTTTGGCCATATCGAGTGAATCGCATTTTGCGTACATATCAACAAGTGATGACTTAACAACATCATCATGAGAATACTCAGAGACTATGAAACGGCAATGAACTTGCTTACCGTGATTAACAGATCCTAAGTTAGCACAGGCTTTGACAAGCGCCGAGAACACGAAATCATCCGGACACAACCCACTGCTAGAAGAAAACAACGAGAGGGTCTTACCGGAGAGATTTGATTGGTTAAGAGCTGTGAGAACAGAGGCCCAAGCGATGTGGTCTCTGTGAGGCATTTCGTCGAACAACTTGAGAGCATGAGAAGCAGAGCCGCATTTTCCGTAGACGTTGACGAGCGTGTTGGCCAAAGGGCAACATTGAATGATCCCGATCTTGAAGATTTGAGCATGGAGGGATTTTGCAGTGTTTAGGGTTCGATTTCTCGCGCAGAGCTTGAGCTGATGAAGATAGTGAGGGATAAGCATTCATCAGCTGTTTGTCGCTTTGTGGTTTCCAGAGATTCTGTATTTATGTTAAAACTCAAATATCTATTTTACAAAAATTCTCACATATTTCGATTCCTTCCTTAATTGGATGTAAGCCGGGAATTCGGTTTCGGGTTTTCAGTTCGTTCGGTTCTCAAAACTCTTAGCAAAATTAACCGAAAAAACTACAATTCAGTTTAGTTCGGTTATCGGTGGTTAGTTCGAGTATATTAAATTTCACCGAAACTAACCAAAATTTTCGAATTTTATGGTTAAATTCGGTCAAAGTCGGGTAATGTCAGTTATATTCGGTTCGATTTGGCTATTTGGTTCAGAATTTTATATATATTGTCATAAATTTTGGTATATTTCGGTATAATTTGGTTTTTTGTTTTAAAAAAAAAAACAGATCCCAAATGAGAACCGATCCTAATCTTAAAAACTGTTGATCAGTTAGGTCCTCAAAACCGTGCAAAATCCGAAAACCGAAAAGTTCAGTTTGGGATGGTTCGGTTCGCTCAGTTCGATGAAAATTCCCAGATCTAATTGGATGGTTAGACTTAAATATAAACATGATTAGAAATAATATAAAATCTACAAGCTTTATAACATGTTCAATTATTGATTTGTTTTTGTACATTTTCTTTATAGAGTAGATGATTTTATTGTTTAATTAATAACTACATCAAAAGTAGGAACAAGACTAATCAAAATGTTGTTAATTGTAAAGTTGATTAATCTCGTCTTTGTACTTAGCCACAACCTTGTCCCTTCTAATCTTCATCGTTGGTGTCATTAAGCCATTGTCTATCTGCAATGTTTACCAGTTTTCTTAATAAGGTTTTTGATCTTTTGACTCCTAAATGAAGCCAAAAACACATCAATAAGAACGGATTAAAGATATAATTACCGTGAAGGGCTCTTCCACGATCAAGACCGGTCCGACTTGGAACGAGCATTCTGATGTCCTGCAACATTGTTTTAAACAGAGTGAATATATAAGATCAAACACCTTTTAACTCAAGTTAAAAAGTAATTTTCTTTTCTTTACCATTTCCTCAGTTCTTGATAAACTAAGCTCTTTAGCTTTTCTTTGCTCTGTTTGGATGTTTCAGGATCTACTTTCTCTGCTTCCTCTTTGTTTGGGATAATGATAGCTCCAAGACGACGTTGATCCTGTGACCGATCAAACAAATAAGCGAAAATGGCCATTTTTCAAAGATTTTTGTGATTGTCTTCAAGAAATATCAAGAACCTGTCCAATAACAACGATTTGTTCAATCAATCTGCTTCTCATGGCAGCTTCTTCAATCTCCAATGGTTCCACGTTTTCACCTAGAGTGATACAATGTTATATCAACATAAAGACCAGTTTCTGTTTTTTTTATTTAGTCTGATTTTGAACATATTTGAGACTTGGATTATACCTGTAGAGAGTACAATTGTGTCTTTGGCACGGCCTTCAAGAACGATAAGACCTCCACAACGGCGACTCCTTCCTGTTGAGTGATGAGGAGCGATCCAACCCGTGTCTCCTGTATTGAACCATCCACTCTCGTTTAGAACTTGTTTGGTGGTTGATGGATTCTGCAGCACACACCAACAGAAACATGAGTCAAAACCACCAATGCAAAATCCCTTAACACAATAACATATAACATAGTGATACTTAAATGTGAGGAAACGAGAGAGTGAAAAGAAAGAAAAATATGCATTAGACAGGTAAGCGAATATCTATGCTCATTAGCAGATAATTCAGAAGAAATGAGCTTGGTTTTTTAAACTTGTGTGTAACTTTATGAAACTAAAGTAAGTTTTGAATATACTACTACCTTATAATAACCTTTCATTATCTGTGGGCCTCTGACTTTGACAATGCCCTTTGAACCAGGAGGGAGAACATTATTAGTCTCCGGATCTACAATTTTGAACTCTGTACCATGCATTGGATGCCCAGCTGAGCCAAGAACCTTCATTTAAAAAACAAAAAGACGACAAAGATTACAGTATTACGTCTATGAAAACGGAAAATGATGGAACAAAAAGACATGACAGCTAATAGCTTGCTTGTAATGTCATATAAGGAAACAAAAAACAAAAACAAAGTTGTATTCGATTATTACTGTTTTTGATTGATTTGGAAGCTCCGTGCGCAAAAAAAAGAACTCAAAAAAGAACATTTGAATCGTTGTGAGTTCAAAACTCGATTGAAAAATTGGAAGCAGGAGTGACTTACATTACAGCTAAGTGTCCGAGCACAGACAACCGGCGAGGTCTCTGTCAACCCATAACCATTTTGTAGAATCACACCAATGGCCTGCATGATTTTGGAACAAAGTCTTTTACATAACAAAACTTGTTCCAAGGCAATAAAAGGAAAAAGAGATCATAGACGGCTTAACCTCAAAAAACTTGTCAATATGAATGGGTAAACTACCACCTCCGCTAATACCAGCCTGTGGAAACGAAAATCATATCAGCCTCACCCAGAAATATTTTGGTAAGAGAAACAGAATTTGTGTACTACCTTTGATATCCCAATAGAAGAATGAATTTTCTTGTAGATTAGGCTTTTAGCAAGCATATGCAATGGCCACAATAAGGCAGCAACTACTCTTGCCCGCAAATAATCCACCAAAGAAACAATATACATTGGAGGCTTTTGTTCTTTTGTCAAACACATACCCTGTAAACAGAGCAACGACCAAATCAGTAATTCAGGCACCAAGAATTGGGAATAAGCAGACAAACTCTTTAACAGAAACCATAAGATAAGAACATATGTGTCATGGAACCTCATAGATCCTCTTCATCTCCATATATACCAGGCTGATTTTGATCAATGTAAGTGCTAGGAATTTACGAGCAGCAGAACTTGTGGAAATTTGCTTTTGAATCCCACTGCAGTGATCAAAGAGGAAACAAAGAAACGAGAGAAAACAATGATGTTTAACAAGCAACTCATGTTTGAAAATGCTGAGAAGTAGTGAATGATTAAGATCACGTAATATGACTATTTTGCAAACTTTTAACTTGAAAATTGACGAACCTGTAAAGTGTCTCATATACTAACGGAACGGAAATAAGATAGTGTGGTTGATACCGCTTTAAATCATCCTATACCAAAAGAAAACCAAATGAAATGAATTAAATCCAAAAGGAGAAACATTCAATGATACACTTCCACCATTCTTCAGTTAAAAAAATTCACATTTTCCCACTTTCAAGGGTAAAGAGCGCGTTTCAAAACTTTCATGGCACAATGATCTCAGGAAGTGACTCAAGTATCACACTGACACAACTCGACATAAGCACAATGACTGCAAAACATACTGACTGAAAAAAAATGGATGATGAGAATCACCTTTAAAAATCTTATAGACGTATACATTTGCTCAACACCACATGTGAATATGAAGTATTCACAAGCACGTTCATAGGCATGCCATGATGGCAGCATGCTTAGAAATCTATCGCCGGCTTGAGCAGGTACATATGCCGATAAATGTTTTATCTGGAAAGTGTTTAAAAAAAAGCATTAAGAAGCTCAAACCTAATTCTTAATAAGAAAATTTAGTATATACAAAAACATAATCACCAAATAAACGCTTGAACCTGGTGTAAGAGATTCCGATGTGTAAGCATAACGCCTTTAGGATTTCCCGTGGTACCACTTGTATACATAATCGCAGCTGTATCATCTGAATTAATGGAGTCATATACAGATTTCCCTGCAGTCATTTTATTTGTTAGCATTAGAAGTTTATTCTTTTAGGACCTTGGAAAAAAAGGTAGATGCCTCAACGTACTGGTATCATTAGATCCTGAGAGTTTCGCACGTCTCTCCTGTCCTAGGTTTTGAATTTCTGTGTAAGTGTAAACTGGAATCTGCATCCCTTGCGTAGCCAATGATGACTTCTCACCCCAGAGAAGTATCAAAAATCTCAGAGATGCCTTGGAAGTAAATGTGTCAGCAATGCGGTTGAAAAACTCAAGATTATCCACAACAAGGGCTACACTGCAATACAGATCACTCGAAATTCTTGATCTCTATATTGCAAACAACTCTGGCACAGATAACTGAAGAGACACTGTCTATCAGCCAAGAATATCTGTGAACCATTAGAATTTACAGGAGCGCTGATGCAATAATATAAATGAGAATTTGAGGTGTTTAGCTAAAATTACACCAAATCAGAAATGCATTTCCTAAACAGGAACCAAAACTTGTCAATCATTAAGAAATCTTAGACTCAGCAGCACCATCAGATACATCTGAAGACTGTGATACAAACAGTACAAAAATTAGGCTAGTATACCGTGATTGAATGCATGTAGTGTTTATAATAAAGTTACTTTTTCACATCTCAAGAGTAGGTATGATATTTACATCTAACAAAAGAATCAAAAAAGTTTAAGCATACCTTTCAGAATGACGGTATATCTGCAGTAACTCTTCAACGGATGATCTAGATCCTCTGACAACATTGACTGCTCCTGTGGCCATTATACCTGCATAAAGTGATAAAATGAAATTAAAGATAGCTAAGCGAAGCTAGCACCGTGAGCTTCTCACAAACTGAGAGAGTATCACGTAACATTTCCTATAAGACTTGATAGACAGAAATCATTGGTCCTTCGATGTATAAGGAAGATACTAATAAGGTGGTTGGGTGTGTGAAGAACTACAAACTTATAAGGACGAATAGAAAAAAGCAGAAACATCTCAAACGTATCTCGAAAGATTGTTTTTTTTTTTTATTGTTAATTTGTAAGCTTGGCAATGCAAATTTTGATGAAATCAATCCTTATAAGTTAATGCTTCATGCTCTTCCTATAAATTGCTAAAATTCTAGTGTGCTCCATATCATCAACCGCATACCTTGATCCGAAACAAGCCATCGGCAGGAGTTATCAGCAAAAAGTGCAATCTTCTCATCTGCTTTCACTCCAACTACTCGTAAGCCCTCAGCAAAGTCCAGAATCTCTTGTTCCAACTGAACATTAAGTAAATAAGATGAAGGCTCACCAAAGAATTAACCAAGAGCATAGTAACTGAAATAATCTTGGTGCTAAGATCCTAAGACACAATATCATATTACAAACATGTCTGATTAAAAGCGTTGTAAACCGTAATTTGAATACTTTAAACTATCCAGGATTTGGATCATCATTAGGATCTAAACAAGAATGTCAATTAACTTCTCTGCGCTAGTAAGGAATGACTTCGCAATATCCTCTCGCTGTAGTCAAGATTTTACCTGCTTGTACGTCAATTTCAGAGGTGGGTCATGATATGGATCTATCAATGCAACTTTATCACCATACTTTTCTGCAGATGATCTCCAAATATCAGGAACAGCCTTCCATTCGTTAGAGCGCAGAGCAGCATCTCCTGACGGTGACGAGCTTTCGAGGATACACACTTCCTTTTCCTGAATCATACATACCGAAAACTGATGTTAACAGATAAGGGTAGTGACGATAAACTACAACGGCCCAAAAAAAAAGACACTAAATGAACATACACACACCTGAACAGAAACTACAAAAGCTACAAACTTTTGCATCAAACAAAAACTTAAGAAGATGTAATTTTGAATAGCTTTCTTGATCAATCACTAAACGTGTTAATGATTACATAAAGAAAGCAACTTTCTTCACCGATTTGACAACTTTCGAGATAAAAAGTGAAAAGGGTATTATACAATTCCAAGAACCCAAAAGCGAGATTTAAGATAAACGAAGGAATCTGAACTCGCCTTGGAAACGCAGTGAATCCGAAATCGCCTTAATGAAGGGAATCGAACTCGGCGACCAAATCCATCGTGACCCGAAACTAATCTGAACCGAAATTTAGGAACTTTACGAGAAGAAGAGCAGTGAGAGATTAGAGTCGGAGGTCCCAAAGAAGTCGACGCCATCGTCGACGCGCGAGGTAAGGAGGAGGAAGAGGCGATGAAGAAGGAATGATTCGGTTTCGGTTTCAGGTGAAGTTGCATTTGAAGATAACGACAAGAGAAGACTGGGGGGACCTCAGAGAAGAGACAGAACAGAGAGAGATCTCGAAACAAGTAAGATGCTGAGTAACGCAATCATATCGTTGTCTTGATTACACAATTTTCACTGGTAAAGAACGGTCACTGGAAGAGAATTAATTATTGAGTCGATTTTCTTCCAAATTTACTGTTTTTGTGTTTTTTATTTATTTGGCATCCAATATGAAAACTTAGGCGTAATTCAATGCAATCACCTGCAATATGCGACATTGTTTTAGTTCTTAACTAATAGTTTGGTAATGAGATTTATGATTCCATGTTCTTTATTAAGGACCAAATTGTTGTTTTTTATAGCTAAGGAATAATCCTCGTTTTTTACTACACGATCGATTGAAGAATTTTTAAATTAGTCTAAAACATATTTACCATTTCGACTAAGTAAGTGAAAGTGGTTAGATACTTTCACGTTTCAGTGAAATCGAAACTTTTAATAGACCAACAAGACAACTCCTTGACAAATGAGAATCACTAATCCATTATCATTTGGTTTAACATCTAAATTGTTTCAAACTGATATGCGTTTGTGTTTGTATTTATTTATAAGTCTAAACAAAATTCAAAAGAAAAACCACGTTTTTGGGATACAAACATCTATCTTAACTTGTCATTGCGAATTTCAAATGCTAACCTTCTTTTTTGTTTAAGGGTTTAATTCAAAATGCTAATCTTTAGTTTGTATTTGGTGTTTTATGTTAACACTCAACCAAAAAATTATATAAGATGCTTAGAGTTCAAGGATTGAAGGTTTAATGTAAATCTCATAGAAAATGTGATCTCCTTTGTAAGGAAAAAAATTTCTTCATTAATTATTTGATTTTTTTTTTTCTCAACATCAAGAAACATGAAGCAGAAAAGGTATAATAATGATGAACAACAACACTATTGTAATAGTATAATCCAGCCTTGATCATTTCATTTTCCTTAGTCCTCACAGAGTAACGCTCGGAAACTTGCAACGATCATTTCCTGTAAAAAATCAAAAATATAGCTTTGTCAGCTACCGTATATTCCATAAATACCCTTGCAAGCAAGGTTATTTTTGTCCAATTTAGAGAATTAAAAATGAATGGCTCACCAGGGTTGATCGTGGTCTCATGAGCCAATCCATTGAAGTAACATCGAACGTCTTGGGTACGGAACTGAGCCCAATATGAGCTAACCGCATAGCTTGCGTGCCAATAAATAGAGACCGGCTCGTAACATTCTCTTCCCGGAGCCAAAGCCGCACACGTCGTGTTGCTTTGGCCACAAGCAAGCCTCAAAGCTTCCTCAAGCTCAGTCTCGTTGGCTCCTTCGACCGGTACGCACCACACTTGACCCTTGTACGGAACGTTGTTCGTCGGTTTAGGCAAAGGGTTAAACCCGGTTAAGGGTTTTTGACCGGTGAAATCAATGTCGTAGATTGGCGTACCGTCGGGATGCAAGAGTCCCCAATGTCTCTGTGTTCCCGAACCGGATTTTTGGTTTTCGTTGAACAATGAGAAAACAAATGTCGGTATAGGTAAACCGGGTCTAGCTGGTGTACCGATTGGTGGGTTTGCAGTCATCTTCTTGATTAAATTCCGGTTATACGTCGCTGCGTTGAGAATGTTGGCTCCGGTTTCGTCGATGTCACCGAAGTTAGGCCATCCGGTTTCTGAGATTGCGATGCGGATGTGTGGGTAACCGAGTTTGGTCATGGCGTAGATAACCGAATCCAACATTTGGTCAAGAAGATTATGGTAAACCAAACCGGTATGAGGATCGGTATAAGTTGAGTTTCCTTGGAACAGAGCGAAATCTAAACTGGTGTTCATAGGGTTTCTTGACCAGCGGAAGTAAGGTTGAAGATTGATGAAGAAGTAAGAGTTTGTTCCGTTAAGAAACTTCATCAACGGCAACATCAATTCTCCGGCGATATCTTCCCGGAAAGTGGAGTTCGACGGAGGAAACGTAGACCGGAGAGAATCCATGGCTAAAGGTGTCCCGACTTTGATGTTGTGAATACCATGAGCTCTAAGAGAAGTCACGATTTTGCGCATCGCCGGTACAAGATTCGCAGTTATGTTCCTGTTTTCAGCGGAGAGGATCTCGTTTCCGACAAGGACGAATCTGATCTGTGTTTGTGGATAATAAGGGAGGATATTGGTTTTGACCCAATCTTCAGCTGTGGTTTGGTTTGAGCCGAGGGAAATGATTTGGTGGTTAGGAACGGTTATGGTGACGTAAAGATTGGTATGAGAGAGGAGTGTGAGAGATTCCGGATCGGCGTCGTAAAGCTTGACATGACCGGCTTTGATGGATTTGATGAAATTGATTGATTGGTAAGGCGATGGGAGGTTGTTTCCTTGTCTACCATAGTTGATACCAATCTTGCTGGCCAAATCTAGCATTGCTTTCCTCTGCATGTACCTGTGCGGATAATGGAACCGAGTCGCTGAGGAACATGAACCTGTAAAAACCAAAGAAAGATTGAAGAATCGGATTGAAACGGGATAAAACAAAAAAAAAATGAAAATTGAATCTTGGATGAAGAAGATGACTTACTTGAGAAAACAAGGATGGTGAAGAGGAAGAAAGCAAGAAGAGCCATTGTCTTTATTTTGTGTTTGGTATGCAATGTGTTTTTGGTGATGATTTGAGAAGGAATGGTGTGGAATTTGAGATAAGTGATTGAGGTATTTAAGTAGGAGTATGGTGTAAGTTTAGTGTGAAGTTTATAGATTTATATTGAGTCATGCAAGAATAGCTTCTTTTTTCTTGCTTTTGGTTACTTTTGAAACTAAATCATAGTTCTTTTGTGCTATGGTTTTTTTTTTTTAAAAAAGATTGTTGGTTGAATGGTTCAATTTGAACCAAGACGCTCTTTCCCAAATTTCTCACATAACATCTTTTTATACAAAATACATTTGGTGATTGTATACTGAGAAAAAGTACCTCAGTAAAAATTTTGAGTTGAGAAGACTAATAAAAGACATCTATGATCATGCTACTGTATTATGCAAATCGGCGAAGACATATTTGATGGTAACGAATGATGGTTCACATAGTATGAAACTATGATCATAACATCATATACAATATATATATATATATATATATTTATCTCTACATGGCATATGATGAAGTAGCATTTATGTATTTCATTTTCAGGTCACTATGTTTGCTACATAGAATAAATCATTCATGAATCATGATCATATCTATTGGTTCAAGATTTGATGACAGCATTGTAACTCTCAGTAAAATTACTACTATTAATGATGCCATTTTTCTTCGTTTCGTGATTTTTGATTTTGATTCTAAATCAGTTAGTTTTTCTCGTTTAATTAGAGAATGTATTATAAAGGGGACCTACATGCTTTTTTCTTAGAATATTCTTCTTTATTCATCTTCCCAAAAAAAAGCTTCTCTATATATGAGTTTCCAATCATCGATTGAATGGAATTGGAGGATGATGAGATACCGTGTTGAATAAAGTAACAAGCACAATCAATAAAACATCAAGTTATCTTTTAATTTGATCTGAAACAAAGGGATAAGTAATCACAAGAAAGCGAGGCTAAGGAGGCCACACGTAACTAACGAAGGAGCTTGATTTTATGGGGCGGTTTTTTTATTTAAAACTTTTTCATATGAAGTGTAGATTGATTTTATGACCGATCAAGAACATGAAAGATAGATCGTAAAACGAATAAGAAAAAAGAGTAATATACTAATATCATGCTACATATTTCCGAAGGAAACATTACTTTAGGTGTTTAAAGCACTCTTCTACTAAGGCGAACTCGTCGACAGTTGTACTTTGCTAACTTATAGTTATAGTGTGTATCTAAATATTTGTGTCTTAGATTACAAAAGTACAAACCTAAATTAATATTCATCAGTTAAATTTAGTTGTGTTTAAAGCATAAATGAATGATTCCCCGAGATATGAATGAAGAAAAGAAAGTAGAATGGAAAGAGGCAAAGAGCTAATTAATATATACTTTCCTTGATAACATCACATAATTAATATACATACATATATATTGTGAATATGCGTAGAAGTCAACAAATATATGAACTTTCCAAATCTTTTCTGTTTTCTTGTAGTCATCATGTATATATACAAGAAAACTCCCTACACAACATCTAATTCTATAGAATCCAAACCTACGCAATTCCTTTTCTTTTTTTTTATAAAAAAATGACATCAAAACATACCAAAGTGATGCTTTTCTTGTTAGCCCTAATCGTAACATTGATGTGCCAACCACCCGAAGAAGCTCAGCCGAATTCGAGCATATGTACCGATACATCGGCATTAGATAATGTGCCGGGATGTTTTGATGCGGTGAAATTAGCGGCGGACAAAGATACCAGATGGCTATCAATAGATTGTTGCAAAGCAGTGAAAACACTTCCCGATTGTCTTTTGATTGTCTATCCTGATAAAGCTTACAATACTGAAATCTTCAAAAGCATTTGTGTCCAAAAGTTCGCTGGAATAATTTCATAACTTTTTCGTATCTTTTTTTTTTAATTTCTTATGATATAATAAAAAAAAAATTATTGTCTATCGTTCATATGTTTCGTCTTTCGCTGTGTTTGAGGTCTCATCTTTCATCTTGTTTCTTTAGTCTTTAGGGCTATGATCTTCTAAATGTCAATATATTTAGACTTCGTATCATGTTTCATATGTCCAAAAGTTAAATCAAGAAAATCAAATCTTTGAAAAATATATTTACGATCCATAATCTTTCTATATCCACGATAGACTTGAAGTCTCGGATTACCAGTTTCTTTCCTCGAATAGCGGCTCGCCATCTCAGACCTTACAAACACAAGTTACCAACACAAAGAAACCAGGCAGCTAAGCAACTTCACACATTTATGTACACACTCCTTGTGAATAAACAGAGATAAAACAACTGAGTTTATTAGACAATCAATTGAATATAAGAACCAATAAATAAAAATCCTGAAGAAACATTGTTCGAAGCCCAATTTTTTTGTGGCTCAACTTCTTGATGCACAACTGCCCTTTTGGAGACGACAGAAGCAGCTCTTGTAACGATTTCAATCTTCACCGAACACAAAGTATACTTCAGAGAGGTAAGTTGGCTTCAACTAAACCATGACAACTTGACAGCTCATAGAGCTTCTTGGAATCGATTTGATCTTTTTGATAATGCTGCCGAAACTGGAAGATAGTGTCGATTTTTTTAGAGCTGCACCCTTCTCTAGAAAGTACTTTGCCAATTTCATCTTACTCGATGCTACTGTAAGTTGATTTTGCTCGTTTAGGACGTATCCTGTCTTTAGGTGAACAAACTCAAGAGATGATAGGAAACAATGTGGCACAGATGAAAGATGGATCTGCTCTGATTTTGGAAACCAATAGAATTCCTGATAGTATATATAACCAAGGGAAGTTTGAGATTTCGTTTTATAAGTCTCAGTACTGTTATTTACTTGAGAGGAAGAGCAAATGAGACGCACCAGAAAGGCAGAGTGTAGATTTGGGCAGCTATCAAGGAAAGATGGCAACATTTCTCATGAATATTCTTGAAAGCAAGCAAGCATGCAAGCGAGACAAGTTAGAGAATCGAGGTAGCTGTACCATTTTCCAGTACTTATGAATGATCTGTTAGCGAAGAGAAACCAAAGAAAACATGGGTTCACATAGAAAAGTGAAAAATAAATTGTACAAGGTTAATGTTATTGAGTCAACCATTTATATATATATATATATATTTCTGTGTATACCCGATTTTAATATTTTATAATCTGTGAAAAAGAAACTATAAACGAAAAAAATAGAAAACAAAACTAGAATTATCGTATGAAAATAAATAATATAAGGTTGAGACAGCCAACGCGAAGCCTCTATAGTCCCAGGAGAGATGATATATATACCTCTATAGTTCCGGGACAGATGATAATTTCGTCGGCTGTAGATAATCCGGTGAGAAATTTACCGATCATAGTAATCTTGGAAGAATCAGCTGGGTCCAATGGCTCACCATATCTCACATTAAAGATAACACCAATGTCTACCTTTGTAGAGGGACCAATACTATGTATAATGATACTTTCAGATTGGAGATCGATTAGAGTCAAATACTCAAGCCTTGGAGCATCTATTGTAACAACAACATGTTCTTCACGTCCGTAATGCTCAACATCCAGTATGAATTTTTTAAGTGGCTGTGAACGCACACACACAGCTTCAAGACAATCCCCGGGGTCACGAACTATGGTTAACTCTTCGAGAACAAGACAACTTGATATTAGAGTTTCCAGAGACGAATCAGCATCGTACCTGACCTTGTCTAGTTGCATAATCTTCAAATTACAAAGCAAAACAGATTTGGGATGATCCAAGCCTACGAGCTAGAGATTTAAGCTCACCAAACTCTCACAGGAATAGAGAGATAGAGGCATCTTAACTAACTCATCAGCATCACTATGAATATTAAGATGGCGAATTCGACGCCTAATCACAGGATCTATCCAAGACTTGAAACGAGATAGATCATGGTCGTAAACCGCGTAGGTCAAGTTGAATCTAGTCAAATGTTGGTGATTGTCAGATCCTAGAAACTTATCTAGGAAACTCACAAAGACATGATCATCAGGGAATTTATTAGAATCTAAGTCCAATGCAGGAACATGTAACCATAGATTACTCCATCGTTTTGATAAAACGGTAGTGCAAACCGATTCCTTGGTGGACAAGTTTGAGAGTATCTGACATAACAACGAATCAGGTATATTGTTGATCATATCATGATCGAAGCTCATTTGATTCTCTTCGACAGTGGACCTGAACCCTGAATTGAATATAAATAAGTCTGAGATTCGGCATGTAAATCAAAATTGTTCTCACAAATGGGATCGAAAACTTAGTAAAAAGTCAACTTAACATCTCCAGAAAAGTCAAACAAGAATTACCTTTTTCGCAAGAAAGGGAGAATAAGACAACCATGTCGGGATCGACGTGGTTCCGGTCAATATTGCAGCAAACCACCGTCAATTCTTCAACGAAATAACACAGAGATATATCGGTGATAGAGAGAAGTAGGAAGAAGAAGAAAAAGAAGAAAACACGTTGTCACAGGAATAGCACAGAAGATCGCTTGCTTTTTGACTTCTTTAATATTTTCAAGTGACAGACAATTTCGAAATGATGATAATCAGCTATCGGTACAGGCGTAAGTTTGCAAAAACATTTATTGATATGTTTAACAAAAAAAAAATGAACCATTTGTTGAAGAAAATTTCTCTCTCTTTCCTGAGAGCAAAATTAAAGGCAATTTAGGTCATTTGAAACCCTAACCGTCGTCGTAAGTTGGCTTCACGCCGCCCCCATTTCATGGCTGCTGCAAACTCAAGGGAGCTCTCCGTTCCTCGAATTCCTCTGAAACCCCCAATCCCCCCTGATCCTCCCTCTTTCTCAGTGGTATTTTCTTCTCCTCTTTCGGGTCTAGTCAACTTGCTTTCCCGACTCTCCCATGGCTGAAGCTCCGGGCTCTGGTTCTCTTCCTGTTCCACCGTCTCCTGGTATTGTTGGCTCTGGTTTAGGCTCTAATCTGCCAATCCCTCAGGCCTCTACTTCTGCAGTTCCTCCCTCTGGGGAAGCTCAGACATCTTCTCGCAAAGCTTCTTCACCGGCTTCGGAGTTTAATTGGGCTTCAAAATTCAAGTCATCGTGTAGATTTCCGTGAATCTGATGCGGAGGTTTCGACTTCCGGGAAGGCAGACCAAGGGTTAAAATCCCAAATGCGGTTTATGAGAGAAGTGCAAAGCTTCACTCAAATTTTATTGTGGGTATCTTCTATGGAAACGCTCCATCCTATGGGAAAATCTGGGATGTTTTAAACTATCTATGGAGTAGAGATAAGAGAGTAACAATGCACAAGCTAAATCATCATGCTTTCCTATTTCACATCCCTTCTCCTGCTCTGAGAGGAAAGTAGTTCAACATGAACTATGGCGTGTAGGTGACTCACCATTTTTTGTTACGAAATGGAAATCTTCCTACAACACTGACCCGCCATCTCTCCACAGAGCTCCGATTTGGGCAACAATCGGTAATGTGCCCTTTGACCTGGTTACTGAAGAAGGAACCAGGATCATCTCCAAGCTCCTTGGCCGATTGGTGGATGTTAAACCCTTCACTAAAATTGACTCTTTTGAGATCAAAGTCATCCTGGACCTCACAAAGGCTCTCGAGGTTGAAATTGAGAGTGAGGATGGATCAGTTATTATCCTTAGCGTCTCCTACCTGTGGTTACCCCCATTGTGCTCTTTCTGTGACGAGATTGGTCATAAGGAGGTTTTCTATCCTGTTAAGCCCCTGAAAAAGAAACTTTTGAATCGGTCTGGTCCTTCAGGCTCCAATGCTGGCCCCAAAAGGGAAAGCTCCAAATGCAGCGAACAAGCCTCCCCAAAAGGCTAAAGAAGGTGGTCCCTCAAGGCCTCAAGCATCTCAAGTTTGGCGTCCAGTTAATCAGGTTTGTGCTGATCCTCCCTTACCTTCTTCGAATCCTCCCCTGCTGGCACAGTCTAAAGTTCAGGGTAAGTCGGTTCTTGCGAATGAATTGAAATTGGAGCCATCTTTGGATGTTGTCCCCTCGCCTGCGGTGTCCTCTCCTGCCCAGCCTTCAGAAATTTTTTTGCTTGTGATCAAGGCCCCTGCTTCCAAGTTGTGCCTCGCTTCATCGTCTGAGATTCTCCCAGTGGGCTTGTCAACCCTGTTTGCTGCTTTAGAAGATCTTGACTCGGAGTTACTCAATCAGGAGGGTTAGATGGAGCTTTGGAAGCCTGCTAAAGGCTCCTCCTCACCATCTTCCACCCCATCCAAAAACAAGAAGAAAAAGCAAAAGCTCTCTTCTCAGGAATCCCCTGTTCTCGGTGGTTATCTTCCTCTTGCGATAGAGGATCACCCTAACCCGTAATCTTAGTATATCAGATACATTTTTTTTGGAACGTGCACGGTCTAAATGAAAGTTATAAGCACCGTCCTCTCGAAAATTGGATTTCTTCAAGGCCAGTGATGTTTGGATCACTTATAGAGACACAAGTTGTGGAATCAAACATGAACCATATTCTTTCAAGCTTCGATCCTGGCTGGACTGTTATTTCAAACTATCAATTTTCTACATTGGGAAAAATTTGGATCATCTACAAACCACCAACAAAGGTTAATGTTATTTTTATGGATCTCCAGTCTATCACCTGTGAGATCCTTTTGGAAGATGGCGAGAGTTTCATCTACTCGGCAATCTACGGCTCTAACTCGGATGAGGAAAGAAAAAATATGTGGCTCTCGCTTTCTGATTCTCATGCCTCGTTCTCTCTTCACGCCAAGCCGTGGATGGTATGCGGGATTTTAACGAGATCACTTCTCCTTCTGAATTGTCAAATTGCAACATCATACACTCAAATCCCCAAATGAGAAGGTTTCGCAACTGTCTTCATTCTCTTGGGCTTTTTGATCTCCCGTCACAAGGT